GGGCAATTATACCACATCTTCTTATTTGTATTATTAATCCATCATGTTCTTCGGAAAATGCCTGTATTAAGTCAGCAAGTTGCTTGATATAGTAGTCTTACGTTTGATTTTGTCAGTTTTAATTGACTTCATCCTTTTTTTTTAATTTACCTTGGAGATTGGAATTTTTATTGATTACTTTTTAAACTTGCAATAAGATTTAAGATAGTAACGTTATAATTTTATCAAAAACTTTGGTGTTGAAACTTATCTAGCTCTCTGAGGTAAAATTACCGTTTATAATTTGTACAAATGATATGCGTTTCCGTTTAGAATTTTCCTCGGAGTTCGGTATTTTTGTTATTTTACTTTTTTCTAACTTCTTTAAAGTTAAGTTTGGACAAAATATTTCCAAGAAGGAGCGAAATACGGTTATGGATATGCTTTTGGAACTGACATGTATTATGACATAGCATTTGATTAATTATCATTGTAGGCAGAGTTTGTGCTGCTCTATTTAGGTCCTTCTTTTTTTTCTGCAGCAAATGTATTTGTGTAGTTTGTGTAGTTTGTGAGCACCTTATGTATAGGTGTTGAGCGTTTTGTGTAGGCTATGAGCCTTATCAAGAAAAGCATCCAAACTGTCAAAAGTTATTTAAGTATTTTGATATATACTAAGGAAGGCTAAAAACAAGTTTGAGCCGGTCAAAAAATGATTGTAAGTGTTTACTGAAAATATTCACTAAATAAAGATGAACAATTCAAGGAAACTCCAAAAGTAACATATGCAATCTGTTGTTTTTATTGGAATACTTTATTATCATATAAACATATGGCTGTTTGTGACAAAGAATTAAAACAAAGTATAACAAAGAATGAAATCAAAGTTAAACAGAGAATAAAAACAAAATATAACAAAGAAAAAAAACGTTTCAATTGATGATAAATCAACACATGTTAAATTTTGAGACTTCTGTCCTCAGTTATAATGACTGTTTTAAAAAAAGTCAATAACTTTTACATACTCATTTATTAAAAAAATTGCTATATAAAGAATATGAAATACCAATATATATGTAATCTTGTCCTACTTTTAATTTTTCCGCCTATGATCTTTCAATACCTTTGTTAGACAAATTAACACAGTTATAGCAAACACGGAAACTGAAGCAGCACAATAATGTTGTCAAAAATTCAACTCCAAATTCTGCAATTTTGTCATAGCACATTTTGTGGTTTACAAACAAATAGATATTCCTGTTTCCAGTTTTGTGACATTTTTTGGCATGGCAGTGTCATGTGCTGAATAATATAGAAGGTTTCTCGCTGTTTGACATGTGTAATAAGATATTTACACTTTATGGAGACATTCTTATATATTTCTTTGTATAACAGACTTATTACAGATTTTATTAAATGTTATCTTACTTAGTTTTTATTATGAAATGTATATTTTTAAAGAAAAACGCAAATTTCCAGATACGTTGTGTTAAGGTTTTCACCTGTTCTGTCTGTTTCTATGCATCCTGCCAAGAATGCTAAAGGTTGAAATGATTGTATTTACTTCTAGTACTCTAACTTATTAGAAGTGTCTTAATCTCAAAATTATATAATACAAAAACTCGAGAATCTGTATGTACTTAAAGTAAGATTATCTGTACTTTCTTATTACTTCAAAAACGGTTATCATCTCTCGAGATCATGTTGACGTTACGTTTAAAAAGTTAATTGCAATAATGTTTATACCCTGCAGCATATTCAAAAGAATTATAAAGTCCTTTTGCATTGTATATTACGTAAACAGATGAATACTTTACTGACAATATAAAACTGAGTCAACACGGAAGTGCTGACTGTACATGTATGTCAGTGGAATAACAAAAGATTCTTAAAAACGTGCAATAAAATAAGTATTCGAAAGAATAACCTAGTTCTCTGCGATTGATATATTCTCATTTGTAACAGTAACATTTTCACAAGTAACTATGTTTCCAGTGTTGCAGGTTATGAGATCTTTTAGCAAAATTCTCATTACTCAACTGCCCCGAGCTCTGTGGAACAATGCATCCTGTTTTAAGGTGTATACTTTAATGATTTCAGTGGACTGCAAAAATTCTGATACCTTGTATTACAAGAACTGATGAAAATGTACTTTGTTTCGCCTAGTTTTTTATGAAAAGTTTTATGTCGTGCATTAATTGATGCTCTATAGTGGAACACTTTGTTTGCCAACTCCCTATTTTTTTTTTCTTTTACAAGTTTTAAGCCATGATTATTTACAACAAACAAACAAACAAACAAAGCATTCTAAATAATCAAAGAAATTCTTCGTCCAATTTCCCATATTTTGTTTCACCAATAGTGTCAAAAGCAAAAAAAAAAAACAAAAAAAAACTACATGAATGTGTACATTTTATTAAGGTCTATGTAATGTATCTAACCTAACACCGTTGTCAATTATTCCACATACTTTCATGAAATCAAATGTTATTCAGTGCCAACTATTGCAGTTGAAGCAAGTTTGCAAATTTTACATGCTTAATCAAAAAAGGCATCAAAAAGACATCTGAATTCATTTGTTACTGCAAGACTATAGCTCAATAGAATTTTGGCGTTGGTTAACATTTAGAAGATCCATTATTTAAAATCTAACCAAACCTATCACAATTATTGTTTTGATTTATCTTTTTCTCTTTAAAATTTGATCAGATGTTTCGAAATAAGTCGTTATATTGTCAGAACCTCAACATGCACAAACGAAGTTGTGATACTGTGAATTTTCGTAAAGATTTAAATAAAATTGAGAATGGAAATGGGGAATATGTCAAGAGACAACAACCCGACCAAAAAGCAGAGAACAGCCGAAGGCCACCAATGGGTCTTCAATGCAGCGAGAAAATCCCGCACCCGGAGGTGGTCCTCAGCTGGCCCCTAAATAAAATGTCTTTATTAAAATTGGCCTGGTGCGAAATTCGTCGAGTCTTTTTTTTTCTTATCATAAATGTAATTGACTCGCTGCGGCTTGAAGACACTAATGATAATTTCAAATGTTAGAAACGAATCAGGTTCTTTTTCATAGATGTATTGTAATGTCTTTTAACTTAATAACAGAGGCATTTCGAAGAAAAAACTATTTACCACTTTAATGTTTTCGGATTTTTTTTAAGTCTATTTTTTAATTTAATTTTTCTATGGTTGATTTTATTTTTATGTTGAAAACATCCTGGACTAAAATTAGCAATTATCAATTGAAGTGTTTTTCTGTATATTTCGGAGAAATATATATAAATTAGAAGATGCGGTATGAGTGCCAATGAGACAATTCTCCTTCCAAGTCACATTGTATAAGAAGTTAACAATTATAGGTCAAAAAACGGCCTTCAACACGAAGCCTTGGCTCACACCGAACACCAAGCTATTAATGGCCCCAAAATGACTAGTGTAAAAACAATTCAAACAGGAAAACCAACGGTCTAATCTATCTAGACCCAGTAGAGCGGATTTAGGATGTTACATTAGCCCTTTTTAATCAAATCTCTCTGAAAAGATAGCTCATATAAATATGCTATCAGAATTTGTTGTTTACACATATTAAAACACAATAAAAATGCCTTAACATTGTCATGACTGCATATTCCCTAATAAAAAATCAAATTGATAAAAAATGGAACAGCTATGGAAACAGTTACGCCGTATACAATGTAACTTCTCTGTTTGCAAAATTCATGAGTTCTCTTAAGTTAACGAAAATAATAGATCCGTAATTGAGATCCCTTTTATCATTTTACGGCAATAACACTTCATGAGTTAAATTCATTAAGTAATTCCGCTTTTCTCTTTCATATCATAAGTACCATCTAGAGAGTTTTTGTTTATCAAAATTATTTTTATGGAAGAATAATCCTGTTTGATAGTACCGCGCGATTTTGTTGTCTTATAATAGTTCGTTACTGTCGCCCGTTTGTAGACAAAAAATGAATCCTTTGATGATTTTTGTTCTAATAATATCTTAACACAATGATCTGTATTGCTTAAGTGATGATAAAAACTACAGTTTAGCAACTTATGATTGCATATTGAGTGATGTATTCAAAAGAATGAAACTTTTCATATGAAAATGATAAACTTTTCATTTTTGGTTTTATATGTTTTAAATTCTAAGTGGCCCCTATTTTTAAGAAAATTTAAATTAGTTTGAAATTTATTATTTTTTCCACGAATTCTACGATTTTGTGTCATATCGTAAACATACATATTTTGCCTAAGAACAGCTCATAATCCATTTGATACTAAAAATAAAGAATTGGGACATTATCAACATCAAGCAACACGAACATCAACGATCATTTGAAGACAGTATAGCTATGTGTTTGGTTACAGCTGCATATTAATTTTGGTTCTCATTTATTTTAAGCTAAATTTTACAGAAACATTTTGAAAAATTTCAATAAGATAAAAGCTGAAGAAAAATTTCAATTTAAGGAATATTAACAGCTACGCAAAAATTCGTCAAGGCAACTCTACCTGTTGGATTTACATTTATAATTTTAGTTAAGTAAAAATTCATATTGTATCAACTAAAAAATTCCGCTAAAATGTATCATTTAAATAATGGAATTACCGAAAATTTGGCCAATGGGAGAATTAGTACCGTTTGGTATTCACATTCCACCAACTGAGGGACGGAAGACATCATGACAAAACCGATGGGACTTCTTCCGTTTTATGTGATCAGTTGAATGTTTTTGTTGCTTGATTTTCTTTTACATTGCGAGTTCTTAAAATTAAAAATGGCATTGTCTTGGTTGTGGTCTATGTAAAGTCTATGGTAGCTCTTATTAAATTTCCAACTTGTGTGTAAATGGTTGATTATATATATGTATTTATGTTTGAATAGACCATTAACATTTTTAATGCGTAAATGTTGATACAGTTTTTCTGTTTTTGATTTACATTCTAGGAATTGTTGTTATCCAGACCATCCTAAGAACCATACATAATTTTTTTTTCATCTTTTGCAGCATTCTTATAAAAAATGGACGTGTTCTAGACAGTTTTCATTATTCCATGGTGATATAGAAATTCCTCCCTGTAACGATATATGTGAAAATGTTCAAAACAGGTGTCCATTCTTTCGTCCAAGTATCAATACAGTTCATGCCGGTGAACCATCATTTTTATGCAAATGTAAGTACAATTATTGCAGATATATGTATGAATTTACTTTAATTTATATCTTTTTCAATTGATCGTCAATGATATAATGTTTTAAGAACTTTTGACTAGTCGAAAATAACTTGCATGACCGTCTTCGTTTTTAAGAATAACCAATGTGGGGTAAAAGGTTATGGCTTTCTTTAACACAAGATTTAGACGAAGAATACAAACAATACATTACAACGGTGAAGAAGCTAGAAAAGAAAATAACATTCAAAGACATCAGAAATTAGAACTCTGTACTTTGTAATATGTCCATAGTTTATAGAAGTATTTGTTATGAATGCAAGTTCAACACTAGATAAACCAATACAAGTAATGGAATTATAAAACATATAGTATAGTTGAAATACGCTTGAACAAAATAGAGACAGTACTAAGACACCTAATTGTCCAGATATCCACTTTATTAAATACGTTATTTTTAAAACTTACCTTAAAGCATAATATGTAATCCCCTTGATGAAAACAAATGTCCTTTGATATACAAAATTTACTGCAATAGATTTCAAAATAATTAAAGGGGATTTAATTGCTTATGAGTTGAAAATAGATATTAATTTCATTATTTTATGGTTAATTATACTTTTTAACTCCCCAACGATTCCATATAAATGAATTTTCTACATTCGTGACTGATTTATGTTTGTTTCATTTGTTCTTGTATTTGATATTATTTCTATTTTCTTTGGTGATGAAATACTTTTAGTTTATAGTTTACCTTGTGGTAGTTTGCACTCGAAACCCCAGATGGATTGTATTAGATAATAAATTCGAAGTTCTAGTTTCCATATTTAATATACAAATATAAATTTGAAATTCAAGTTTCAATAATTATATACATGTATGTTTCATTAGAATCCGTAATTTTGATTTGCTGACAACAATCGTGAGGCACTCCAATATCATATTTTATTCTCGTATTAAATACAGCAGCTATAGCCGTGACAATTTTATAATTTTATAGGGTTGTAAAAGCGTTGATCGTGCGCACATTATTAGAATGAAGCGCTACCGAGCTTTATAGAAAATGTGCTTCGGTCAACGCTTTTACACCCCAATAAAATTATAAAAAGGTGCATTCAATTCCTAAATATTCAATATGCATATGGAAATTCGACATTTGAGATACGAGGAAGATATGTTAGGATCTTACTAACAGCGAAGCAAATAAAGCAGTTTGTATGATATATAAAGGACTTTTTTAATATTTAATATTTCATTTGTTATTTTTTTAACATCAAGTGTCAGATACACCTTGAGGGCGTTAGCCCGAATGGGTGTATCTAATTTACACCAAAATGTAATATTGTCAATGTAGAATAATAGTTTTCAATAATTTAGGAGGGGTGTCTTTTAGCGATATGTTCATATGTTATAGAAGAGCATGATAAATGCAGGATATTTGGCCAATTTCATTTAACGACATCTTGGTGTAAATATTCTAATATTTGTATAAAGGAAGATTTCTTACTTATAATTTTGTACGTGCATTTTAATGGGAAAAGTATCTGATAAAAACGATTAACCTGTAAATGTACTCTATTAAATTTATATACATTTTATTTATTTTTCTAGCTTTATTCCTGTCATATCTTTTTATTCATTGCGTTTTCGTTTTATATATATATTCATCATGTTCATTCACATAAACTTTTGTTGTAGCTATGGGAACATGTTTTTGTTTCTTTTTAAGTTTGATTCATCATATCACTTTAATAAAAACTTTCTGTGGCAGACAGAAGAATAAACCAAGAGATATCTAGACGAAACGCGCGTCTTTCGTACTAAATTGTAAGCCTGGTATACTCGAGTTTTTAAACACTTTCCAGTTATATATTTCAATGTATTTATCCGTTTATCGTAATCTCTTTGAACGACATCACCTACTTGAAATGACTATTAGTTGTGACCTGTTGTTCTATATTATTGCTTGTTGGAAGTTGAATGTTTGATTCTTCATCTTTTTTAGTTAAAATACTCAAAATTCCTGTTCAGCTCATATACGTTTGTTCAAAGTCAGGCTATTGAATGTCTCATACTGGGTGACGATCAATACAGCAAACAAGTAATCATCCAACCTTTTAAGACGAGGAGACGGGTTTAACGACTGTGGGTCTATGGAATTGGTTGAAACATATTTCATTCAACATAGACTTGATTTCATATTATCACTGTTTGTAAAATTTGTAAGCATGTCTATGCAAGAACTGCCAAATAGTTTTTTCGAGACCAACCTGTAGGACACCTATATCATGGGTTCCTTGATACTCTAAATCAGGACCTACTCTTTGGAATGCATTTCATCTAAGTTCCATAAATGTTGGGATTTTTGTGCAGCAAAATGTTAATTATATTAATACCATTATTTTAATACTAGCAATAAAAGTTAATGCATTATCCAAAAGAAGTGATCTCAGAAGCGTTATCGGCTGGCAAGTCTTCTAAATGCTAATATGAATGATAGCTAAATGACATTAAAATGAACGGTCCTGAGCGAAGTGATTTGGTATTGTGCACGTACAAAGGTATAGAGTCAACTCCTGATACTGAAAACGGCATGACTTTTCGGGGGGATCAGAGATTGAGTATGGTTTCCCTGTTTCTTTTCGGTTTGTGATGCAGTTTCTAAGATTGGATCAGCTAGCTGACGTATCATCATCGGAATCCAGTATGTTTGACGAAGATGTGTATCGATACTGTTACTTCTGTGATATTTGTTCTCATAAATACAAGAGATGAACATTGGTGTTTGTTTGGTAACACGTATGTGGATATTCTGTGGAATCATGGGGTAACGCATTTTCTGTCCGGTCATCTCAATATTCCTTTTCATCTTCGTTAAATACAATTTGTTTTACTTATTGACGGGTGTTAATTTTTGGAAAGATTGGAGCTTGTGTAAATAGTATTGCACCTGATTATCTGGATTGGAACTTCCTAAGGCACCGGCCTCCTAAACAGATACTAGCACAGGTTAGCTACTAAATCTACAAATGTATACATACTGAAATACAGTTCCCTATAATTCTCATGTCTATGTACATATGCACTGTGAAAAATTTGGGTTATATCTTTGGAGCAGTTCATTCAAGTATTATGTCTTTAGTTTGTCAATGTGCCGGCTAGTTTTTTTCATTTTAATTAGGTAAGAGTAATGATACATTACCAGTATGATTGACAACTGCCATGATCACCAAACAATCAGAAACAAGGTGGGGCCTTAATTGGAATGTCCCACCTCCTTAAATGCCAATCATATTGACCAAATAACTAATCCATCTCAGTCTTACATAATTAAGCAGTTCCTGCATTATACATCTCAATACACAAATACTTGACCTTAATTATTGAATACACAGATTTATATATCAGATGTTCGATATATAGAAATGAATAATGTATTAGTTTCTTCTGTTACCTATTCTAACATCAGACTCGGACTTCTTTTAAACTGAGTTTTACTGTGCGAATTGGTATGGGTTTGTTAGTCTACATTTGCTAGAGGTATAGAGGGAGGGTTGAGATCTGACAAAACATGTTTAACCCCGCCGCATTTTTGCGCCTGTCCAAGATCAGGAACCTCTGGCCTTTGTTAGTCTTGTATGTTTTTTTTAATTTTGGTTCATTTATATGTTTCGGAGTTTAGTGTGACGTCCATTTTCTCTGAACCAGTATACTTTTTGTTTAGAGGCCATGTAAAGCCCGCCTCCTGGTGCGGGATTTTTCTCGCTGTGTTGAAGAACCATTGGTGGCCTTGAGCTTTTTTCTTCTGTTTGGACGAGTTGTTGTTTCTTTGACACATTCTCTGTTTTCATTCTCAATTTTATTGCCTATTACTTTTGATCTACACTAAATGATTCTATAAATTATGTTGGAAAGATAAATGGTTAAGGATTAACAAGATCTTTTTTTTTTTCAAAAGAAAAGACAAAATGTTTAATTTATGTATATAAAAAAAGATATTCAAGTAAGGTCTATATTTTACTTGATAAATCTGTGCACTAATCATCTAGAGTAATGAATCAATAATTAAGTTACACTTATCAGTAATTGGCTTGAAACAGTAAGTAAAATTTTAAATCTTTACCTGCGCAAACCAATATTTTTTTTTAGTTTATTTTCCATCAAATTTCTTTGAATAATGTTAGTCATCTTCAGTATCATATTATCATGATAATTGTTTTCAATTCAAAAAGCAATTCTTAGAGGAGAAAAATAGTATACCTATGTTTCAACTAACAAAATTCCCCCTAAACAACCTTTCAGATTAATTTTTTGAGACATTAAAGTACTTAGTTACAATTCTATCTGTTGGACCAATGTCCTATAAGGATGATTAAAAAAATTACTAAAAGAATTTTCATTTGATCATTTTTTCTGTTTCTAAAGATAAAAGTTGAAACATGTAACAGGGAACATTATATGGTTAAGATATCAAATTGCAATTTAAACAAAATTGTTGTGCAAATTAAGGGACCTACTTTCATTGATTAACATTAAGTTCATTTTATCTACTGAAAAAGTGCGTATCCTTCTAAAGACCTGTAGTAAATGCAATTGTCTGTGCAATATTGCTACATTAATGTTCTTTTTCGTCCACACCATTCCTAGATATAATTTAAAATTACTCAAAACTACTCTTCCAATCTTTCCATGAGTGATTTCCATCACTTTGATTATTTTTATAAGTTCATTATCCATACGACTGTTGAGTCTTAAAATTCCTCCATGTACATATCGTCTACATAACTATACTGTTAATTATTGGAGGTTCTTTCTTTAAGGATTGGAATTAAGAATTGTTCGTATGTTTTATATTTTATGTTCCGCTTCGTTTGCCTCTTTGTCATGTTTTTTTTTCGATTCATGGTTTTTGATTGCCACTTGATATCGTCTCCTCTTTTTTTATTTGTAAATTACTATACAACTCTTTCTTTCCCTATAACTTCATTTCAGTAAACATCTAACGTATCTCCTAATTTTCTTCTTTTAAACCCCCCAAGGGTGACTGGGGAATAGAAGTATGGTCACCATTGGTCTTCCTCCGACCGGGAGTAAAACCCTTGCTAAAGTGGGGCGTCCGTTTAGCTGTGCGGGATGTACAAATTTGCAACCACGTCCGGTCAGAATGGGGACGTTAAATCCGATGCCTCGTGTAAAGAGAGTGCCACGCTCTTTGCACGTTAAGAACCCTTGCAACAACTCTTTGAGGGGTCCGTAGGTGACCTGTTGCAAGGCTAAATTTCGGTCCCTATCCAATATACACTCATTTCCCGTGGCAGTCCAAATTTCTCCGACCTTAATCCCGGACGACTCTATTACAGAACCTACCTGTTGTATTTATTGTTAATTTGTTCTCGTCCTGAATATGCATGAAATATTTGCCACTGGACGTTAACCAACCAACAATCAATCAATCAATCAATCTTCTTTTAAAAAAGACAAATGTATATAAAGCTTAAAAAAAACGACATATGTCTTCATTATAACAATTAATTAATTTTCTAGAGATATACATTGTTAAAGTCTAATAAGTCCATTTTGTAAATTAATAATTCTGATACAACTGTTAAAAATGAAATTGAGCATGATAAAATAGCCGGTGCCTTAGGAAGTTCCAATCCAGATAATCAGGTGCAATACTATTTACACAAGTTCCAATCTTTCCAAAAATTCACACCCAGTATAAAACGTACGCCATGGGCAGAGTAGGGTAACAAATATGACAACCCGTCCGGTAGACAACCCATGCCGAAGGGTGGAGTATGCTTAGTTGTGTGGATTGTAATTATAGAGGACATTTCATTCTGAACCTACCCACTGAATTTATTGTTTTAAAATTTGTTCTAGTCATAAAAATGCACGGAATATTTGCCGCTAGACGTTAAGCAAATGTTAAAAATCGTCTTTTCATCTATAAATGATATGAATTCTTTAATTGGGACACAAGTTTCGTTCTTTAATCATACCCCTTCCAAGGAACATTTGATGTCCTGTCATCCTTTGCCTCACTAGAAATAAGGGTCAAGCTACTCCACTGCTATTGGAAACGCACCGTTTACACATATATGGATATCAATTTACAGTTTGGTATTTTCCTAGAAAAAGAACAAAGTCTAATTTTTTTAACAAACAAGTATTGCATTATAAAGATATTTGTGACAAAATGAACATAATACACAATAAACATAGGAAAAACATATCCCTTAAAATAATTCTTTATATTGTATATAGATAGATTGTTTTGCTTTTATTCGTTTAAAGGATAGGTTTTCCTATGTTTATTGTGTTATGTTCATTTTGTCACAAATATATTTACAATTCAATTTATAACTCAAGAGTCCCCTGTCCCAAGTTCCAATGTCTGTTTGATAAAGGACCATAATATTTTATTTGGTTTAAGGTTAACAACGTTCTATAATCTATTTTTCGATCTTATTTTTATCCTTTCATGTCTTTTTTCAACTTACAGATAACCCTGAAGTTGCATACATCTGCATGAAATAATCGGATGATCTCTAAAAGTACTCATTTGTTTTAATGTTTTATACTGTATTGCATTATATACTTCAGTTATCTTTTGGGATAATAAAAGACATAAAATCATATTGAAGAGTGTTTTAATCAGTTTTTTATGAATGGTACATTGCAAGATAATATATGGCTGGCAAAGTATTCAAAATTGATGAGGATGATCAGTTTTCAATTCATATATATGTATATAAATAAAGTGATTAAAGCTTGCTTAAATGCTCTAAAGAATTGTATGTTTAGACACTGTTCTGTGTTTTACATTTGAACTAAAATAGTGCGAAATTCAATAAATTTGATTATAAATACTATTGATTCATTATTATTTGTGTGATCGAAAAATGTTCATACAAGAAAAGACCGTAAGAATGAGAACATGAAAGCTTTTGATATAGATTTTTCGTTTTTTTTTTCGTGGGTTAAGGTCAACCATCAATTTAAATGTTCAACTAAGAACAAATTTTATATTGGTTTATATGCAGACTTTGGCAAAACCACGAATTGTTATCATTTTCATTGTAATGTAAAATAATTTTAATAGATATTCTCTCTTGATAAGTAACATCTAATATAGCAGGGATAATTAGTTCAATTCTGTACACTAAGTTAATTGTGAACAGCAATAGTGTGCAATTAAATATATTAGTCATGTTAAAAAAATACAATGTCTCCTCATTCCAGGAAACATTGGTACCCATGAAAATTAATGAGTTCACAGTATGTGTTTCTACATCGAACATTTATTTAAAATCACATTTGAGTACAGTTGTGATGATTTGGTAAAAATTATATACCGCTTCCCTTAAAGTAAATGTATTGTTTAACCGATTACTTTGTACAACATAGTTTTAAAAGGATACGTTTTGACAATTATGGAATATAACTAGTTGTGTTAAAAGTTTCCTACATTCTTCCTTGTGACTTCTTTCTTTTGTTGGGGCTTTGGTGGTCGAGTGGTCTTAGTAATTCAACTACTGTGTCACTAGCTTGTCACCATTGATGTTGTGAGTTCGAAACCCGCACATGCAAGGTGCGTTCGATTCCAATCTTGATTAACTAAGATTGTCAGTTTTCCTGCTGAGGGTGGGCGGTTCTCTCTGGGCACTATGCTTCTTCCACCAAAATAAAAACTGACGAAATAACAAAATAGCCAAAAGTGGTGAAATACCAAAAATCAATCAATCCTCTTTCTTTGGTCAGTAATTATCATGAATAATGAAACACTGGTCACATGTCAAAATGAAAATCGTCTACTCGAACAAAGTTTGGTTCATTTCATGTTTGGATAGGTATGTTTCATTTTTTACTCGGACTGTCTTTTCGTCCTTTGATTTTTGTGGAACACTAGTGGTTTTATTTTTCTGTCTGTTATGTTCTAATGTAGAATTTAGAAGGTTTAAATTATTCATATGTTATTCGTGTTAAAGTACAGAGTTATATCTGGCAGGTCATATCCCCTCCCTCAACCCTCACTAATTGTCATATAATCAAGATTCTCAACACTGACTGTCTTCACTCTTTTTCGTTCTATAAATTACGTTTTAGAATAACAATGTCAAAATGATATGCATGTCTAGAAACAATGACCGATTTTTCCTAAAATTAAATAATGTTCACATTGCGTGTTCGAATAAAATAATGCAATGGTAGAAACATTACCAATATAACCAAATTAAAGAAAGAATTAATGACTTGATCATACTATTGGTAAATATGAAAGTAACAGAAGAATCGGTATTTTCCTTTTGAAATACAAATCCGGAAGAGAATGACGTGTTATTTCAAATCACCTATAGATGAAGCATGTCTCTTCGGTTTTAGGGTTTGGGTTTTGTCTACTTAGTCTTGCTTCTCTTAAATCATTATTTTTGTCGCTCGAGTAATTAAAAGTTATTGCGAAAGTTCTTCAAATTACAAAAATCATGAAGATATGACATAAGGCAAAACCATACGAGATTTTTATTTGGGACAGGCAAAGTTATATGTTGCTAGAATTTTGGGGGGGTAAATCAATCCTCCCTCGTTCAATTTTGATCAGTATACGAACAAAAGTTACAACCGAGAAAAGACCATACGAATCAGTACAGAAAGCATTTAATATAGATAACAATAACAAAAGAACAGGCTAAAAAATAATAAAGACTATTATACAGTATCAATGAATGCTCGCAAGCTATTAAAGAATCTTTAAAAGTACTAAACCTACTGATATGAAATTATGCCGCCCTACACTCCCGACAGTCTTATTTCTTTTGTTGTATTTTTATATCGCAAAGACAAAGAAATACTTGAAGAACAATCATGTATTATGCCGAAAAGTCTACAGGTTTCAAATGCAGAAAAAAAAATTATGATTGCTTCAAACTATGAATTAGTGATCTGATGTTTACTTCTTACAAAGTAAACTCAATGAATCATCAACAACTATGCAATACAAATGCCATGGAAGTCCGATATTTATATACAATTGAAACACTTCATCTACCGGAGGCCGGTCTCTAATAAACTACAAGGTAGTGATTGTCGGATCTATTGGAAACCGATCGTCATATTCCTTCATAGATATAGGCATTGTTTAGTTTTTTGACAACAAAAAAACTGATTAGTGAAAGTACACATCAACAAAACCATACAATTCACAATTCTGCATCAAGAAATTTAAGTAACTAGCTACCAATTGGAATATATCTATACATTTTTGTGTTAATCAATATAGTTTCTTTTTCGTTTCAGCTCTGAAGGAAGCGGCAAATGATAGTCTTTCTAACGATCAGTGTTATCCAGCATGCTATTTAGACTTTGCATGTTCACTTCCGGAAATCAAACCAGAAGTTGTAACCTCAAACTCCTCAATACCATCAAACTGCTGTAGTCATCATATATGTAATTTTTGGACTAATGTGATAGGCTTGTTTTGTTTGTGGTTGGTTAGAACTTTCATACAATATATGTCCATAGGATTAACATAGCTTATGTACTATAGTATAGAATATTTATATAATTTAACAAAAGGGATAATGTTTTGTAAATACAAAGTGTAAATGATAAGAAATGTGTGTTTAATTGTGATAAATAAATATATATATATATATGTATGTTCTATTTTGAATGACAAATGTGGATTGGTGAAATCAAAACATGTGTATAACAGTTTTAAAATTATAGTATGGTTAGTTTTATAATTCACGTTCATACATTTCCAGAGTCGCGAGACTACAGTAATAATGTGTGACAGATTATGTTTTAAAAAATCAAGCGTTGTCTAGCTTTTTATTCTTTAGAGAAAATTAAGGAAGAAAACAATTTTCTTCAGTTTGCTTTAAGAACAATTGATCTGCGGTTTTTCTTAACCTCGTTAGTTTCGTGATTAAGTATAACTTGGAATTTATAAACCGCATAGACAACCGCAACAAAGCATTATGTATAACATTTACAAATTATTTCATAAACTTCAGCTGATTTGCAGTTCATCTGTTAATTATAAATTATCACATCATCAGGTTTTATTCGAAGGATGTTATTTTAACCATCAAAGTCATTTAAGTGCTGCCGTGTGCAAACAATTTCCAGAAAAATCTGTTAATATATACTGAACATATAGTTTTAAAACAACTTCCCTCATGCTGTTGTCTTGTTGCATTAATTTAAGTTCCTTTAACCAACATTACCAGAGCAATTGTCTTTGTATCATTCTAATGATGGAATATATACCTTTCAAACAAGAAAAATACCTTTAATAGGCAACCTCTACCAACTAGTCTTTTTCGTTGGGACTTTTGGTTTGATATTAAAAATAACTCCCAACATTATGCTCGTAGGAATTGAAACAGCTCTGCATAATAAGGTATTGCTTGTTTTGTTTACATGTTTCTTAATTCCTTCTACAATGAAAGGACGAGAATCGTGGCATAATAAAATTTGTCAGTTTTGATCGTTTTCCTAGGTTCCTTTTATCATACATTCCTTCTTTGTAATTATCAAAGCCTAACAAAAATCTCTTGTTGTTTATTTATTTATTTATGGGTATTAGTTTACAGTTATCAAGTCTTTGAAGGTATTTTTTTCATACTGCATTAGCAACTGTTGCCAATGCATCATGCATAACGTGTAAATTGCGATACAACTATAATGGTATGCTCTGAAAACTGTTCAATATTTACAAAATCATATGAACAACTAAATGAGTCAATTCCCCGACCAAATAAAAAAGTTTGGTTTGCTTTTTGTTGTATAGTTTTTTTAATCTTAATAAGATTGGAGTGCAATTAATTACTTTTAAGGCAAGCTGATAGTTACCTGCATTCTAAATTAGGTAAGTCTATCATACAATACTAGTTTATATATAATATGTTCCCCATCTTCCATATAACTTTTTTGCAGATAAATAAAAATATGAATATATGGTGGTAAATTTTTTTAAAGTCATCTATGTCATCTGTTATGATTTCCACTTTCAACGATTTTATAGTAACTTTTTAAACCACAGAGCTGATATTGCACGTTTTGAAATTTTTATCATTTACAATTGATATTTACAAACAACTGCTCATATTTGTTCAGGATATAATGCCTAGTTTCAGCAATATATTGCAATAACCAGATTGCAGCAAGTTCAGTATAGACAGGTTTTTGTATGTGATGATTCTGTATATAACAATCTTGCCAGTTATAGAGGTTTTGTTTTTAACAATTTGATTGTTATTATGTGATAATCAGCATTTTTGTATAGTTTCTGTTTGTTGATTTAATTATAAGCAATAGATTTATTAATCATGTTGATACCTCGACAAACTAACAATAGATTTATTAATCATGTTGATACCTCGACAAACTAACTGGTTCATGTGCTCACGGCCTTCCTGTAAGATAATCATATCAGATTTTTGGTTTTGTTTTATTGTGTATAAATATTTGATTTCAAACAAAATTGTCATTGTTAATTGTTAATATTTGATATAAACCTAACTGTTCATGTCTGTTTTCGAAAGTTTCTATGAAACAATCATCTTGTGGTGTTGTCTGCCTCCGTTTTTTTTTTGTTTTTTTTTTGTTTTTTGTTTTTTTTCTTTCTGTTAATCGAGTTAGAACCTAAGACTATAAATGGCAGAAACAGAATCACTCGAACGTCTGTGTCGGGGACGTATTGTTACCTGTCAATTTAATATGTAGTGGGAGTTACTTTTGTTCCACATGACCTACTATAATCAGTTGTTTCCATAGCTTAATAAAATCTCATTCAAACTTTGTTTTTTTTTAATTTTGAATCATTAAAAGATAAAACCCGAAAGTTTTGACATTTTAAGGGAATTATATTCAGTAAAACCAAATGAAGAACATTATCGCATACTTTCGATTAGATACAATGTCAAATTTGCAATTCAAGTCTGACTTAGTATACACAGTTATTATGCAAATAAAAAAGTATAACAAAAATACCCAACTCCAATGTAAATTCAAAAAAAAGTTATAAAAACTGAAAAAAAGCAAACGCTATCAACCAAAGGAATGAGTGAAAAAAGCGAAATTTGTTGTAAAATAATTGTGTTCGATTTTTACTTAATGAACTTGGGGTATAAAAGCTCTTTTTACTTGCTATATGTTTACATTTAGACCAATTAATGTAATTAAACTGGTTTCTATCCGGTTGGTATGAAAAATAAAAATTTGATTTAAACCCATGCATCTGAAGAATGTTAAACGGTCACTTACTTAAACATCAGTGGAGTACAGTATTTATTTCCACGTAAAGAAAGATAACTCTACCACATATCTAGATATATTTTTTTCAAAACAATATTACATATATAGAGTTAATTTTTGAAGTAGTTTGCTCAGAAGAAACCAAATTAACTTTATATAAGGGAACAGGTGCTTCTGTATTCAATTGTTAAAAGGGAATTTGTAGTAAGAACTAAATATTATTAAAAGGCTTTCTTCGTTGAATTGATTTGAAATAGATACGAAATGTAACTGAAAAAAAATCATTGTCATTTACCATCATCCGGTGTGGTTAATTCCTTTTGCTTAATGTTTTATGACTAAGAACTTTGTTCATACGGATTTCAAAGCAACAATTCTCTTATTTCACAGTAAATGACTCAACTTCTTAGAATGTTCATTTCATTTTCACCAAATGAAAGTGTGCAACATGGAACAATTCTCGAACACCGAAGCAGCATTTGTAATTTCCCTGATTATGCCGTTTGTAATTGATACTTGCATATACAAGTTAAGTCGTCTGCTCTTAATTCACAGCAAGGGTCGCTCAATCTTAATATTGAGATCATTCAGCGTTTTCTTAATATTTGGTATAACAATAATTAAAAAATTGAAAAGATGATATGAATTTGAACACTCTATTTTCTACCCGTTTTTAAAGTAATTTATTTCGTTTCTGTACACATGATCTTGAACTTTCTTTTGCTCAAACTGTACAAAACTCCAGTTTAATTAAATTGTGTTATTACAAGTGGCAATTACAACGACATCCTAGCAAATCGCCTATCTTTTATGAACTTACTTTAATGAATGATTCTTTAAACTGATATTCGTTTGGTGACAATCAACAGATACCATTTAAAGCGAATAAGTAATGCTGAGCTAAGCCTGATCGATGCTTGAACAAAAATTCTTTGCTCTTCTGGTTCATTTTAGGCTCGTATATTATATATCGTTGTGACATTTCATCATTTTATTATTTTTTTTTTAATATACTATTATACATCTGTGGAGAACAAACCTGTATCTTTCCAAATTAAACATATTACAATACCTTGGAGAGGACAACAGTTAGGTCTATGTCAAATCAAAGACATAGGAAACTGGGTATATGAGAGCATATTGTGTATAAAATTCACCTGGACAAGTTGTGTAGATTATAAAAATGATTTTGTTATATGATTATCTAATGTTTGCATTTAATAGATGAAACAAATCAGCTGAGATGACAAGGCAAAGTAAATATGTTTTTGTTATTTTTTAATGAATGGTGATAATGTTAAAGAAGAAATCTCTGCTTTGACAATTTAGATTTAAAAATTTTGAGGGATTGTGTAAAATATTTCTTTATTTCAGAAAGAACGCAGATGATTAAACATACCATATATCTAAAAAAAAATTATATCGAATTGTTTCCTAATCGAACAATTATTTCATTTCCCATCTTCTTACAAGTAACTGTAGATGAAGACATCAATATTTATTTATTATACATGACAAATTGTATATTAAAAATTTACTTTGTATCAAACAGAACAACTTTCTAAATTCAACACTAAAAACTTCCTTTTTTCATATACTAGTATATGAATAAAGGAAAATGTCTGTCAAACGTCAATTACACTGATATCAAACAATATTATGAATAATATTCTGTTCACAAATGTTTTATTGCTGTTTTATTTTCATTTTAAAAAAGTAAATAAGTGGATTCTTAGATAATTCATCAAAAAAGTTAACAGGAATTCACGAAATTATTAGAAGGTACAACAGACTACACCAACAGTCATCACCCGATTCCTAAAACAAAAACAGACATTCAAACAAAGATTAACATGTTCAGGTAGCGTAAATAGGTACATACGATGTGATAGGGTTAAAGCCTTTTTTACGTGCGCACAAACAGCTCCTTTCTCTATAAAGACGCCAATGAGACAAATATCCGCCTTTGCATATCTAGACCACATGCATTGTATTAAAACATTGACAGTCCGGCTACATAATATTGTTTTGTTTTTTACTAAAAGTTAATAGAAATAATTTTGGTTGAAAAACTTCTTGGTAATTATAAGAGATACAAACTAAAAAATAAAAGAGAAAATGCATGCCATAAACGTTTTGTTATACCTTACCGTATTATCAATTAACTGCTGTTACCAGTCAAAAAAGGTCTGATAGGTGAAAGAAACGACAACAAGCTGCATATAGGTTTTTCAGTCACTGTACAATTTTTGACTGTAAAATCTTTTCACTTCATAAACATCCTTAAATCTAAATTTCGAATCAGTTAACCAAAGTCGTAATGAAAAATGTGTATCGAAGGTAAAATCTGGTTAACTTTCTGTTTAGTAATATTTAAGTGATATCATAGTA